GGCAAGAAGGCAAAGATGTTGATCAAGCTAAAACCATCAATGGATAAAAGTCTTTGGTTCAAGCTCTTGGCAAATTTCATAAGGTATAATAACAATTCTTGCTATGAACTTAAGTCTTAGATGCTCAATGATCAAAAGAAGTGTTTTTATCTTGTCCAAACTTTCTCTCAAGTTTTCTAAGCAAAAATTCAATTTTCACTTAAGCGCAATCGATTTGCATGTTGGTGCAATCGATTGCATTCTTCACGTTTTCAAAATGTTAGCTATTATTTCCAAGTGCAACCGATTTGCATGTTTGTACAATTGATTGCTCTCTATCAAGTTTTGCTACTGTTTTAAAGTGCAATCGATTTACACACATGTGCAATCGATTGCTCACTATAAAATATTTGAATTTTTTAGCTGTTAAAACCCATGCAATCGATTTACACTAGGGTGCAATTGATTGCATGATGAACATTTTTGAAAATCAGCAGCTTTGAACATACCTTTTCATAGCACCATTTCATGGAAACTTTTCATTGAAATTTGGTAATTGTTCATGATTCATTTGCAAAGATTTATGTTGTTTCAAAGAGGTGCTATGAACATATAAATACTGAATTTTCAAAATAATTTTGCACCTCTTCCAATCAATAGTTTCTGAATTTTAAAATATCAAAACTCAAGCTTTCTCTTCACTTTCATACACAAAGTTTTTCTGCACATTTTCATATATTGTTAAACAGAAAACTTTGAGCATTCTATAGTCTTGAGTCATTGTGTAGTATTTTTATTGAAAGGGAAGATCAAGTCACTGATAAAATCACTCAAAGTGATTATTGCACTACAAACTCTATCAATCAAATATTGCTATACACTTTCTTATTTTTCAAGATTTTTGAAAATAAGTTCAAGTGGTTTTGTAATCTTGTTTTTCCATGATTGTTGGATACAAGTAAGGTCACCTTGAGAGGATTTTTCTCATCGTTGACATAGTGAAAATCCAAGAGGATTTTTCTTGGTTTTGGTAGTTCTTGATTAAGTTTTCCAACTATAAGGAAATCTCTTTGATGTTGAAAGGGGACTGGAGTACTCTCGGACTGTGAGGGGAACCAGGATATATCGCTTGTGTCTCTTTATTTTTCTGCATTTTACTCTTTCATAAACTCACCATAAACTAGAAAAATAATATCCATTATCACTAAAACCAGAAAAATTTTAAAGTACCTAATTCACCCCCCTCCCCTCTTAGGCGCACTTCGTACTTACAATTGGTATCAGAGCAAGTTATAGATAACATGTTCCTAAAAGATCCAGAATGGCTTCCGTAAATCAAAATCCCATTTTCAGATATGGTGGTAGTAACAACAAGCCTCCTCTATTTTGTGGTGAATATTTTGACTTCTGGAAAATATGCATGAAGGCACATCTAGAAGCACAAGGAGAAGAAATATGGGATACCATCGAGAATGGTCCATTTATTCCTATAACTGTGATCAATGGTGATGGCTCATCAAAGCCTAAAACTACATGGGATGAAGATGATAAGAAAAAGGTCCTCTATAATAAAAAGGCAATCAATCTTCTTCAAGGTACACTTGGCATGGATGAATTCTTCCGTGTCTCGGCATGCAAAAAAGTGAAAGAAATATGGGATACCTTGGTACAAACTCATGAAGGAACTGTTGAAGTTAAAAGATCAAGACTAAATACTTCGAGTCAATAATACGAGTTATTTCGAATGCATCCTGGAGAAACCATTCTTGACTTGCAAAAGAGATTTGTTCACTTGACAAATCATTTAAGTGCTCTTGGTAAGACTTTGACGAATGATGAACTAAATCTGAAAGTACTTAGATCCTTAACTAGGGAATGGCAACCAAAGGTAACGGCAATTTCAAAAAAGAAAAGTCTTTCTTCAATAACTTCTGCAACGTTGTTTGGAAAACTTCAAGAATATGACACAAAACCCAGAAGACTTGAAAAGCATGAAAATCAAGAGAAGAAATCCAACAATATTGCCTTCAAGATTGATTCTGAGGAAGTTGAAAAGGAAGTCAATCCAGAAGAAGATGAAAATTTCATGCTTCTTGTTAAAAGGCTTGGTAAGTTGTTTGGTAGAAATGACAAATCTCTTCTCATGCAAAAAGAAAGAAACAATTTAAGAATATGGAAGCTTCCACATCAACACAATAAGTCACATGTTATGAATGCGGTAAGCAAGGTCATATCAAGCCGGATTATCCAAAAATCTCCAAAAAAGGTGGATACAAAGGCAAAAGGGAATTTAAGAACAAAAAGGCCTATGTTTCATGGGAGGATAATGAAATAAGTTCTTCGTCCAATTCCGATAGTGATAAAAGTGCAAATCTAGCATTGATGGCCTCACACCATTCCGATAATGAAGATGATGAGGTTAGTAATGAATTTTCTCTTTTTGATTGTGATGCACAAGGTGCTATAGATGAACTATTAAATGAATGCAAAATTCTGTATAAAACTATTTCATCTCAAAAGAAACAAATTTTATCTTTAGAAGAAAAATGTGAAATTATGGAAAAAGATTTCAAAGATGAAAAACAAAACTTAAGTGATGAACAAAAATAGAATTTTGTATGCAAAAATTGTGAATCACTCTCTTTCCAAATTGTCCAATTAAAAAGAGTTATTGAAAGATATGAAAAAAGTCAAATTGGATTGGAAGGTGTTCTTAGCCAACAAAGATATTCCAATAATAAAAGTGGACTTGAATATTCAAAGTTTTCAAAACCAAGTTCTAATAAAACTATCTTTGTTAAGGATAGTGATCAATCATCCAAAGAGAAAGTGAACAAACCTAAAGTGGTTCATCATTATCCTAAGAAGAAAACATTTCCTAAGAAGAAATCTTATCCTTATATATATAGAAGTAAATTTGAACCTACTTGTTTTTATTATGGTATTAAAGGCCACACACGTAATGCTTGTTATGTTAAAAACTTTAGTGTGGCAAGTGGACATTATGTGTGAGTAAAGAAAGGTACTAATTATGAAGGACCCAAAGCAACTTTGGTACCTATTAAAACCTATTTTGTTTTGTAGGTATGCTTGAAGACCACATGCAATCTTTGGTATCTTGATAGTTGTTGTTCAAAGCATATGACAGGAGACATAAACCAATTTTCAAATCTAGTGCTAAAGGCCAAGGGTTTTGTCACTTATGGAGACAATAATAAGGGAAGAATTATTTACAAAGGAAAAGTTGGTGCTCCACCTTTAACATCCATTGAAGATGTTCTTTATGTTGAAGGACTAAAGCACAATCTTCTTAGTATTATCCAACTTTGTGACAAAGGCTTCAAGATCAAGTTCACCAAAGATGAATGCTTGATAGAAGACGAAGTCACACATGAGGTTATACTTAAAGGTAAAAGAATTAATAATCACTACAAGAAAAATGATAGATTGGGACGGTTATTTTGGCTGATTACGACGGTTAAAACCGTCGCAATTTACAATCTACGACGGTAGAAGTACCGTCGCAGAATCGTGCGTCCCCAGCCTATTTCGCGACGGTTGCAAAAACTGTCACGCACAACAGATAGCGACGGTTATATACCGTCGTGAATTTGACTTTATTTTTTGTTTTTGTTGTTGTTTGCGACGGTTATTCTACCGCCGTAGGTTAGAAATTGCGACGGTTTTAACCGTCGTAATCTGATTTATAAATTTCAAATAATATTTTTATTTAAATTATTATTTAGTAAAATAATTTTAAATATAATATTATTTTACTATAATATTTTACTATTATATTTAAATTATTATTTACTTTAATATTTTTTTATTTATAGTATTTTTATTTTATTTTCTATCACTTTTCAACATAATAAAGTTAATTACAATAAAAACATTTAATATCAAATAATCATCAATAATATCAAAAAAATGTGATCAAAGGTAAAAAGAAGTGCAAATTTTACTAATAAACAAGAAAAATTCAAATATCATCAAACTCCAATTGTATGAAAAGTTATAAGGTACAGAAAAATCAACTACAACAAAATCTCCAATAAAATAAAATTCACTTTCCGCTAAGGAGAAACCTAATCAAATTTGGATATGTATCAAGGCGTCTCAAGTTCTTTAGATATGTATGATACATAAATTGAGGACATTCTTCATATAGAAGCACGTCGACTCATTGTGAGAGCTTCAAAAACTTGGTTGATGTCTACTTGCACCATCAGTCTTCTCTATGCCCTTGTGCGAGCTAAATCAATGCCTTCCATTACTCACCAAAGCTCAGCTACAACACTACTACATTTTCCATCACAGTAATCACACAAATTATCTGGAAGATTCAAGTGGTTTAGATATTGGTTGGTTTTGATTCCATTATGATATATCATCCACACAAAAACCCTTATTCTTTTAGTAACACTCAGATTCCAAATGCCTTTCCAATGATCCTCTATATCCTTGTTCTTGGTGGAGGTATTACAAGCATTATATCCAAAAACTTCCGACTGAACATGTTCCTTAAATGGCTTCAATTCCAATTTCCATCATCATTAATTAAGTCTGCAATTGTTGTATTCACATTATCTCCAATAGGCTAATTGATGAGATCTTGGAGTCTGATTCCAGGCCCGATTTAAAAATCTAACTGATCATGTCATATGCCTTAGCTAAATCTACTTTGATGGCAAAAAAGCTCTTCTTGCTTTAAGCTTGTGCATACTGTGGAGAATCTCTTGAGTCACCATTATATTATCATGAATATTCCTCCTAGGAATATAACCTGTTTGATTCAGATAAACAAATCTATCCATACAACTGTTCAATATGTTTATAATGATTTTGCTAAAAACTTTATATATAGAGTTACAAAGGGATATTGGCCTGAAGTGATGAACATATTGAGGGTTATCTACTTTAGGTATTAGGAAAAGATCTGAGCTATTTACCTCTGATATGTTAGCTGACTTGATGCATAACTCCTTGATGAAGGTACACACACTACCACCTACCAAATTTCAAGAGTTTTGATAAAAGCCTACACGGTATCCATCTGGACTTGGAGATTTCCAAGGAGCCATGTCATAAACATCATTCTTTATTTTCTCTTTCAACTCTTCATTCAACTGATCTAATATGCTTTCTTCCATGCTTGGAAAGCCACACTTGGTGTGTATCCAACCTGTAGTATCCACATCAGTTGTGTATAAGTTGAGGTAATTGTCCTTAAACATCAGAAGAGAGGCCTTCAAACACAATGTTGACCGTTTGACAGCATGAACATTTGACATGTTTGGCACCTGATGGATACGAAAGCAGACGTCTACAAGAACCACAAACCATACAATTTTCTTATAAAAGTGACTAGAGCGTGAGTGTCATTAAAAACTCAACTTGTTTTAGAGTATTTTTATAGGTTAAAACCACAATTAATTAAGACATGTGAATTTCAATGTTAGGAAATAAATTTAAATTAGATTGATGCATTTACCTGAATTGATATGTGTGAGGAAGCTTTGGATAATCGCACTTGGATGGCACATAATCAAAGAGGGAAAGCATTGGATGCTGAGCAGGTAGTTTAACTCTCCTTTTCTTGACTGCAACCACTAAAACTTGTACAATACTTTTGATGGGACTGCCACTTGGTTTTACTTTAACATACAATTTATCACCCATGAAAAATAACACACAAGCTAACAACATCAATGCAGCAGGAATTCCAAGACCAATTGCCCAGCTCACACTTGATTGTACATACACAATCAATGACAAAGAAATCATCTGAGCAAAAGTGAAGGTGAAATAATACCAATTGAAGAAACTGTTGATTCCTTTCTTTCCTGATTCTGTTTTTGGATTGAATTGATCAACACCGAATGCTAAATTACACGGTCGAATCCCTGCAGCACCTATCAAGAGTAAGCAAAACCCAGAAAATAGAAACGTCATTTGTCCCGCTGTTGGTCCAATGCATGTGCTACTTTCCTTTGCACAGGATGGTGGATGCAGATTCTTGAATACAGCTGTAAGTTGTATTGCAAGTAATCCCTGTTTCAATGAAAGAAAACCATTAATATATTTTTTTTTAACTTTTATGAAAATCAAAACGACAAAAACTGAATGTCAGTAAATCGTAACAGCAAGTCACTTGCTGCATAAATTTTCTTAAATTCTCAGTGACAGTACAGACATGCAGGGTGTCAGTGCATCTAAAAAACTTGTCTCCAGATGTATATTAAATTAATAATATTATATTTTTTTATCAAGCTAACTGTAAGAATAAATACCAGAAAGGAAGTGATGATGCAGAATCGTTAAAATTTACTTGTCCAATCATTGAAGAACAAAGACTAGAAATAAAACAATGATCGTGCAGTAGGTGATTAATAACAGTGCATAATTTAGAAAAATACAAATTATATAGTAAAATCCATTAGGGTATCTTTGAATATTGAAAGAGAGTGAAGGGAATAGAAAAACAACAAATTCCAAGCAAAACAAGCATAGCAAAAGTGATTTTACCTTACAGACAGCAAACATAAAAGTAGCACCGCAACAGAGCCTACAAAACGCAGATATGGTTAAACTCTAAGCCCATTCAACCACATTTCTTAACACAAATAAAATAAAAGGTCATGTGAAACAAATTGTTAAGTTTAATTCAGTGGAAAACTATAATCAGAATATTTCATGATTAAGAATATGCAGAGAATGAGTTGAAGTTTTAATTAAGTAAGAAAATAGAAAAGATAATGCGTACGGCATAGGAGTGGAACAGAAGGTTGACGGAGAAGCACGCCGGCGCTACATGTGAGATTGTTCCAAAGTTTCCTACAGTATCTGAAGTAATCCTTGTTCCCTTTCAGCACCTCCCTATGTAATTTATGGACAATTAGAGTTTAATTGGACAGAAAAAAGTGACCACCAACAACACCATTATTTTATAGGACACCTCACTTGTCAATGTTGATTATTGTCAGTTAGAGATAAAACACTGACATCAGTTCTAGAACAATTGAGATTTCAAAATTAATAATGTAGTTTAGTTCTATAATGTGAATGATTAAGTGGTTAACTTTGTACAAGCTAATAATCAGTATATTCTATAGAAGATAATAATCAGTATATTCTATAGCATGGACTACACTAGTTCAAACAACTCAACATAACTCACGCATTAATCAACTCATTCTTTTAGGTTTGACATGTAAAAAAATTGACAGCAACTATACGATAGCATACAAAACAAATGACTCTTTTTTCAGGTAAACTTGAGGCATATTTATTGTCCACCCTAATATAAGTAACTGTCTTGATAAGTAACATACAAAAGAAATGATGTCAAGTAGAAGTTTTCTTTTCCATTTTAAGTCAAACTTCGGAAACATCATCAGTTTGTACTTATCACAAATGCTTTCTTTTGAACAGTCTGTCTTAAATTAGATTTACCCTCTCACCAAATATATTGAGACAATTGTATCCACATTTTCAACAACAAGCAACATATTTTTACCATGTAGTTTTTTTCTACCATTCATTAGTTATTGATAGAGATCCATACAATATAATAATTTAATTCAATATACATTGTCCTCTAACTTGGTAAGTTTGTGTAATTTTTAATTCTATCAATAAATTGTGATGATGATGATAAGTGTTGGGATTATCTTCATCAGAGGGAGATACCTGATATGAACACTCATTACACTGACCAACTAGCATTTAATTTGTTCGCCTCTTAACTCCACTAACCTATGTACTAATGTTTAATAGTTAATTAGTATTTTTGCATTAAGTTTACACTATATCTAAGTTTGAATACTGATACAATGAAGGAACATAACTCAAACATGAATAAACAACAAAATGAAACTAAGAACTTGGAAAAAACTGCATCTATTAAATCAAAAGTAAACATAAATTCTATTCGCCTAACCTGCTTCGTTTCTAGCAACGCCTGTAGTTATAATTTCATATTTATAACTATGAGATTTGGTGTAGTCAAAATTCTATGCAATCATTTTTAGCAACGCCTGTAGTTATAATTTCATATTTAAATCCATAATCCAAAAGATCAATCAAACTTTCATATTATAGACCAATAAGATTACCTAAACATGTAATAAATTAGAACAAAAACTTGGAAAAAAACAAGGATGGAAGACCGGTCCAATTAATGAACACTAGAAATCACTATGTTGTTTTCAACAGCCTGAGATGGTAAACTCACAAAACGAGGCCTGATGCCTATTCCATTCAGTGCGGCATGTACAAAGTTTCCGAAACCAGGAACAACTGAACATAACATACTGTTGTCATGTTATTAATTCAATTTCTAGATGAAAACCTTTATCTTCTCTATAACCCTAATTTTCATCAAGCAAAGTTACATTAAGATAAAATTATAGCTAACACAATAAGGGTTTTTGCTTCTGAATTGAATCATAGAAAAAAGAAACATAACCTGTTTGATAGCACTGGAAACAGAGAGAGTGGTGCTTTGATTGAGGCATTCAACACCAATCCAATCTATGAAGCCTAAGAGATCAACCTAATCAAGAGTATATGAACTAGGTTAGAACTTGTGTACCCTAAATCAAATAAGATAAACTTGACGATGATCATAATAGTGAATGATAGAGTTTGAATCTTACTTGACCCTTGTGAATAGCGGTGGCGGATTCTCCAGACATTGCTGCTGATTTGTGCGACACGGAATACCTTCTTTGTGCGACTTCAAAGAGAGATCTTCCCCTTTGCTTAGCAATCGAAGGAGGCCAGTACGAAGACCTCTAGAGGACATTTGATGCTTTCGATTGGATATCTCAGATCTGACACGTAGTCGTCTTTATGTACAAAGGAGTTTGTGATTCTGAAAAGAAAAGGAAATTGCGGTAGAATTTGAGAATCTTAGCGCGTGAATTGAAAGAACGTTACGAAAGGTTGAGAACGATCATAAATCTGAGCGGAGTCGGTTCTTAAACCGTCGTGAGATATGATACGTTCCAGCCAAAGGGACGGTGAAAGGAACCGTCGTGGGATATGCTATAATTCTATTTTTTATTGAATATATATTGACATTACTATTATATTATTTAAATACTACTAATATTAATATAGTTACTATTATATTATATAACTACTATTAATATAATTAATAGTTAGTAAGTAATATTATAATACTAATATTATAATTAATTAATTACTATTATTATATTTAATTAATAAAAGTGAAAAGATGGAAAAATAAAACAAATGGAAAAAGTGAGAAAATAAAATAATAACAAAATAATAATTATGATTGGTCAAAGTAGTCGCGACAATCTGTTATACTGGTCGCTAGTGTGGAAAGAGGGCAGTTCTTTGGCAACTGTCTCAATTATGTTACTCAATATGCTTAAAAATCTACGACGGTTGGCTCTAACTGTCGTGACAACTGTCGCAATCCAAGAATAAGGACAGATTTATGGGAACCGTCGCAACTCATGTGTCGTAAAACTCATTTTTTCTTGTAGTGAATATATTCATGATTTCCCTTGATGATCCATCTTTGAAGATAAAATGTCTCATGGAGAACAATGATGATCCATGGCTTTGGCACAAAAGAATTGCTCGTATTCATATGGAACACTTGAATAAGTTAATCAAGCATGATCTTGTCATTAGGTTGCCTAAGAGAAATTTTGTCAAAGGTAGACTTTGTGATGCTTGTCAAAAAGGGAAACAAACAAAATAAACTTTCAAATCTAAGAATGTGGTGTCTACTACAAGACTACTACAATTGTTGCATATGGACTTATTTGGTCCATCAAGAAAAAGAAGTTTCGGAGGTAATGTATATGCTTTGGTTATTGGTGACGATTTCTATAGATATATGTGATCGGTGGAAATGAGAACTGACTGTTTAAAGCTGGTTCGTGAAATGTCGCGGAAGCAAGAGTTGCCACCGTCTTTTATTTTCTCCAACATGGACAGGACAAAAGCACAACAAAATTCCTTATGAGAACGTTTCTCGGTTCGGGAGGTAGATTTATAGAAAGGGAAGGTGTTAGCACCCTTTCTATCCATGGCTATCCATGGGCTCTTAGGTACTTTCTCTTATGTTTTCAAAAGATGTTTGCTTTTCAAGTGTGTGTGGGTTTTGAAAAAAGTTTCGTTTGAAAATTTTCTAAGTAACTCTTGTATCTGTCCTCAAGAGTGTATGAAAAATTTGTTGGAAAACTTTTGAAAGTGTCAGTGTGAAAAGTTGTTTTTGTCTGTTTGAAAAGCGCAAGTACCCATGAGATCTACCTACTATAAGGGATTAGGCTGTGTAAGAGTCCTTTTGATAGTGCCATCCCACCATTGAAAGGTAGGTAGCACCACCGTTGGAGGTGTTCGGGTCAATTCGATTTTAGGGACAGTGTGGTCACCGAAGCAACAGTTAGGACACCTTAGAAGTAACCGTAATGTCCTAGATCCTTTTTAATCCAAGGCAACCGTTTCGAGGCAACTGTTTTGAGGCAACTGGATCATGGACATAAGAGCGACCGCTAAAACGTCCTATACTTGACGACCACGTTTCGAAGGCAACGAGTGAGGCGTACCCTAGAAGTGGTGTGTGTATTGTGTGTTGTTTTCATGTTATATTTTATCTTTGATCATGGCATTGTGAGCTACGAGTTATTTTTAATTAACATACATTCTTTCATGCAATTTAGAAGTTAGGAGTGCGGAAAATTAAATACAGAAAGATAAAAGCTACGCTATTCCAAGGCGCGAGTCTATACATCGCCAAAATACAAAGACCCGTTTTTGATAAAAGATGTGGAAAGTAAAAAAATACCTAATTACTATTACATCCGGAAAGCAGTTTCATAATAATCAATAAGAAAAATAATGTGCGAAAAGAATTAAACTGAACGTCCGAGGGTTTTGACCCTTTGCTTGAAATTAAATTAAATTAAAACCTAATTATTATTTAATTAAAGAGAAAAAAGTTTTTTTTATGTTTTTGGTATTTATGAAAATAAAGAAGAGAATTTAAAAGTTAGTAAACAACCCTAATTCTAAATTATTTTAATTATTAAATAAAATGTCAAAGTTGACCTAATTTACTAATTAATTAATTTACATATTTATGTACAAAAATAATAGTAATTAATAATGATAATAATAATAAATAATAATAATAATGACAAAAAAGAATCAAAACCTAATTCTATGTATTTTTTATTTATTAAGAAAAAGATTGAATTTTAAAACTAAATTAACCTAGATTAGTTATTAGAATTTATTTACAAAAATATGTTAGTGGTGAAATTAAAAAATTAAAATATTTTACAATTTGATTTTCTGATTTTTGTTATGAAAAGTTGATTAATGGTGAATTAATAAAAAAACAATTAAAACAATTAAAAAAGAATTAGAAAGAAAAGAAAATTAAAATTATGCAAGGCAAACCAAGGGGGGTGTCAGGCCCAAAGTGGAGGTGATATTGAGGAATTCTGGCCCATTAGCACAAGGCCATCTTTGACTTTTCTGATCGTGTGGATACTCATTGACTGGACCATATGATTGACTTCATTCTGTGTCCATTGGATCGTTGATCAAGACCATCTGGCAAGCCAACGCGTGAGGGTGCATGATGGAACATTTGAGAAGTGTTGTACCTGAAAGCGTTAAGAAAAATATGAAGAATATATGGGGGGACCTGGGAATCGAACCCAGGTCCCTATACCTGCCAGCCACGTTCCCAACCAACTGAGCTACCAAGCGCGTTTGTAACCATAATAATAAAGAATTATAATATACGTAAAGTGCCAATTATGTTGGGATATGAAAAAAATGCGCTAAAGTTTAAACTCCCCAATCACATGACGCCACGCCCATCTTCTTCCTCGTTTTCACCTGCAACATGAATAAGATAGCGGGGGTTTTAAACCCCCACAAAGAAAAAGTCCAGAAAATAGCGATTAGAGCTGTAAACCATATAAAAAAAGCGCGAGGGTCTCAATGGATTCGTCTTGTTGCAACGAATTCGTCCATACAGGTTTGGAGGTCCAATTTTACCATACAAGGAAAGCCCCAATATGGAAGCTCTGAAACCCTAATATTCTTCAATGGTGGATTTCGATTTAGGAAGATTTAGCACAATTAAACTATATCAAAAGCTTCAGGAAGGTGTCAGCAACATAAATCAATAATCAAAACATAACAATGATGCATAGAAATTAGAATTCGATTATGGAAATATTTGTTAAAATCGTGACTCTGTTCTACCGTTTCCTTGGGTATGAGAGCTTGTTCTTGATGATAGTAGCTTCCTGGAGACTCAGGCAATGTGATTGAATCCTTTTTAGGCTTTGAAACGCGCTGCAAGTATGAAATCAGTTTCACAAATTTCTTTAGTTTTTTATAAATTGGCTATGGAATATTAGCAGCTTTTACGTGTGCCCAGCCTTAGGGTTTCACTTAGCATATGTATGTGATGCAAATTAGGTCAAAACCTTGGCCCAAAAGTCCATGAATTAATGTTTCAAATCCTTGATTTTCAATCATGTAATTTTCAATCTTTTTCCATGAAAACCTTGCCAATTATGGAAGATCTTGTACCCTTGAGTGATGCACGAAATCTTTAGCATGTGTGGAGTGTATTTGCTTCATAAAAAGATTTGACAACCATGCTTTGATATTTTTCTACAATTAAAACCAATTAAATGAATTAATAATAATAAAAATTCAGTTAATTAATTAAAAATAAGAAAATAAATCATTTTAAGTTCAATGGGTCGTGCATAGGCTTTGGGTAAAGATTCAAGAAATAATTTGAGGCCCATTAGCAAATTTGAAGCTTTTTAGGCAAAGTTGACTTTTGAAAGTTCCCAAATATTTCCCAACTTCTCCAATGCATATCTTGCTCAATTTTGAAACTATGAACATGTTCTTGGACATTTTGGAAAGGTCTTGAAGTCCTCTAACCAATGTCTTTGGTACCATGTCATTTTGATTTACCAATCTCAAGTTATGGTCTTTGACTTAAAGTGCCTTTTTGTTGACTTTTGAAAATGACCTATAATGTTGAAATTGATAACTTTTTGTGAGAGCATTTCTTGGACTTGGAGTGTGATGATGAGTTATAGGAAATGTCATCCCCTTCAAAATGAGCATTGGATGGGATTTTTCTGATGAACCATGAAAAAGTTATGCCTTGGTCAATTTGCAGTTGACTTTTCAACTGTCCAGAAATAGCAACTTTTGCATCTTGAGACTTTTTGAGCCATGCTTGTGGAATCATGATCAAGAATTAATCAAATGATGATTGTGGCTTCAAAATAAGATGTTAACCAAAAATTTTGACTATTGACTGTCAAATGACCATTTTGCCCCTGCAGTTGACTGTGGAACAATTAGGGTTTTTGACTGTGCAACTTGATGTTGTGAGTCTTGAAACTTGACATATGGATGCTTGACAATGGGTATATGCATATGGGACTTGATTGGACCCTTGGAAACCTCAATTTCTTTGCAAGAACCAAAACCATAATTTTGATTGTGTTAGGAGGCAATTGGACTGTGTAACCCCTGAGGGATTTTGAAGCTTGATCTTGCCAAATCTTGAAGAATATAGGAGGGCCAATTTTGGGATACAACAGTTGCCCCTGTTCAATCTTATTAGACCTGAGGATATAGATTGGCTGGCGTGCCTTTCGTA